CACACACACACACACTCAGTGATGTTCAGGGGTGGGACTAATGGGGGTAGAGAGCAGTGAAATGCTCTTTGGGAGGAGGCTGAGGGCCTAGAGAGGGCCCTTTCCAGATCAAAGTTTTGGCCCAACCCAGACTAAGTAAAATTCTCCCCTCTGATGGAGGAGGACCCCGGCTTTGCTGAGGAAGAGCCCAGTCTGGCTCACTGATGCTGTGTGAGTGAGAGTCCTCAGAATAGGGCTCTACCTGGGGAGTATTGCTGGGCACCATCTCAGTGTGAGTCTCACTAGGGAGGACTGTCTGGAGGAGTCATGGCAGTCCCAAGTTCCCTCGGCCCTCGCAGGCCACTTCTGGCACTCTGAGCCCTGCCTGCCTCAGCCAGGCCAAGGTCATAGGAGCAACTATCTTTCCATTCAGCATAAAGCTTTGGGTGCACCAAAAAGGCTCCTCCTGCTCTGGGCCTACCTCATCTCCTGGGGTTCACAGGTGAGCATCACTCCACTCACTCTGCAAGCCAGACCCAGCCATTTTCCAATCACCCTGGGGCATGGGCCTGACCACTAACTATTTCTGTTAGACGGATAAGGGCGCTAAGGCTCCAGGAAGAAGAATCCAGCTTTAGACACGGGGAGTCTGAGGGGCCATGAGCCAGGCTCGTCAAGTTGCAGCCAGCAGGCAGCTGATTCCAGTGCAAGAGTTCGAGGGGGAGAGGGACAAGCCTTGGGGTGGGACTCAGAGCCCTGGCTCTAACCCCATATGTGCACTTCCTCCTGGAGACTATGGACAAGCTACTTTGCCTCTGTAGGTTTCAGGCTTGCATCTTTGAAATGGAGGCAGACCCAGAGGCCCCTGCCCAGCTCACCTCTGTCACTTGTAGTTCACCTCTGAGGGCGCAGAATACCGATGGCCAGATAAGGAACAAACCTTGAGGGAGGCCATCCTCTGGGTCTGGGGCAGGGTAGCAAATGGCCTAATCTTTACTATTACTATGAGAGAAGTTGCTAGAAGGTTGGGCTGGCCTCACTTCCACCCCAACCCACACATAAACCAGACCAAAGGGTCTGTTCCCCCAGGACCAGAACCCAAGGTCCCTGGCAACTGACTCCTGAGGGTGGAGGGCTGGGTGTAGAGGGCAGAGCTAGTTGGGAGAGGGCCAGCTTATGACTCCAGGCGGTTCTAGCCCAGCTCCCCTACAGCCCCGATGGGGACCTCAGCAGACATCAACACCTGCCCAGCCCTCCTCTCAAAAAAGACGAGAATGATGGACTGGGGAGAGTTGCAATGACAGCCGCAGCAGCTCTCCTCAGCATCACCTCATAAATCCTCCTGTGCTCCCCATGTCCGCCCTGAGGGAGGTGCTGTCATTCTCCTCACTTCACAGCCAGGAATCTCTCCTGGGCCAGTGAGGTTGAGACTCCCCAGAGCCAAGCGCACGGCACACAATCCAGACTGGAGGGGAATGGGGGTAAAACCAGGGTGGGGTCGTGTTAGCCAGGGTTAAATCTCCAGGGCCTCCTCTTCTGGAATCTCAGATCCGTGAGGCTCAGCCTGCTGCCCAAGGGGCTAGCTGCATGGCCAGCCTAAACTGGGGAGGAAGGCCCATGCCATGCAGTCCAGTTGGCGAGGACTCACCATCAGAGGTTGTTGAGTTTCTGGCAAAGCTTGAACCTGCTTTATATTAAAACTGGTCTAACAGGTTGGTGTGAAGGGACTGCCTAGGCCTGCAGAGGCTCCACTTCTGGAAGAAGAAGGACCTCACAAAGGTCCCCAGAATCCTCCTGCTTTCTTGGTCAGGACTTACTTCAAGTACCCGCCTGCACCTCACCGTGAGCAGCTGTGCAGGGTGAGAGGGCTCCCAGCTGAGAGTGCGAGCTGCCCAGCTCTGCCCCCAGCCCTCTTCAGAATTGCGTTTGGCCTTGGCCCAGCGACGTTTGCTCAGTTGGCAGATTAAAAGCTGAGTCCGGGTACAGGGGCACCTATGATCCAGGGGGTGTTAGGACACTTGGTGATCATGGAAGAAACATCCCAGCAAGACCCTACTGACGAGAGAAATCTGGATGGCCCAGTTGTATCTCTGTCCCAGTCGTTCCAGAAGGCTCCTGTGAGTCTAGGAAGGGGACACCATGCAGCATCATTCTCCAAACCCATCAGCCCCTCCCAGAAGCAGGTGGATTCTGGAGACCTCACAAAGGTCCTCCTCTGCCAGGAGAAGTGGAGCCTCTGCAGGCCTGGGCTCCCCACTGCCTCCTCCAGAAAGTGCTCCGGAACCCCCAACTCCTTTCTGTGTGCTTTCAGCACCCTGTGGCACCCATAGCATTTCCTTGTGGAACTTGACCTCCTCAGCCCTCCTGGGCAGCCATTCTGGACCTCTTACTCCTGATCACAGTAGGTTGTTCCTGCCTCAAGGCCCTGGCATTGACAGTTCCTCCTCCTTGGATGTCCTTCAGCTATGTTTTCTGCACAGCCGGTTCTTGCTCTTTGCTCGAATGTCCAGGCTCAGTGCCCCCAGAGCTCTCCCTGATCGTCCAATTGGTGGTAGTGCCCCCCATCCAAAGCCACCCTCTGTCCTGCCCCCAGCTTTGCTTTCTTTACACTCTTAAAACTTGCTCTGAGTGCCCATTTGTTCACTTCTCATCTCTTGCTCAGCAGCCCAGGAGCCCCATGAAGATGGGGACCACATCCCTCTTGTCCCCTGCTGTGTCCCCAGGGCCCAGATGGAGTTGGGCCCAGCTGGTGTCTGAGGAGTGTGTGTGCTAATAAAGGACTTAACTGAAGGCTCCCCCATTTGTCCCCAGCCAGTGCTGGCAGGGCACCCCCCTTTTACTAGCCCAGAACCACCCGGCAGTGACTGCACCACCGAGAGGATTTTCAGCATCTGTTAGGCTGGGTCTCTGACTTGGGTTTGGGCCTGACGACATGCCCTCTATTGTCTCTCTTCTGGGCAGGCATCATTCACTCCCCTCAGAGGGAAACACGAAAAGATTGAAGCAGAGAAATATCAGGTGTCTGAGGTAGTCGGCAGCCCCTCCTCAGCCAAGAGCTGGATGCTGGCTTGTACTGAGGCAAAGGTGAGGGGGGGCAGGAGCCTGTTGACCAGACCAATGTCCGGCCCAGAGACCTTAGCAGGAAGGGACATAGGGGGACAAAACCAGCATCTAACTTCATCTTGCCTGAAAGCTGCCAGCCCCCGTGGCCAGCTCTTGCCAGCTCATGTAGTAGCCCGGGGGCAGATAGGTCGTTGGGACACCCCCAAGGCAAGCTCAGCCAGTGTCTTGCCCCCTCTGGGCCTCAGTTTCCTCATCTGTGGGGTATGGGTAATACTTAGATCTACTTCCACAGTTCTTTTTTTTTTTAATTTTTATTTATGATAGTCAGAGAGAGAGAGAGAGAGAGAGAGGCAGAGACACAGGCAGAGGGAGAAGCAGGCTCCATGCACCGGGAGCCCGACGTGGGATTCAATCCCGGGTCTCCAGGATCGCGCCCTGGGCCAAAGGCAGGCGCTAAACCGTTGCACCACCCAGGGATCTCTACTTTCACAGTTCTGGTGAACACTGCATGGGGTGCAAAGCCCTCGTCTATTGCCAGCAGCTGGCAGGCACCCTGAGATGCCTCCCCCTCTGCAGACAATGAAGAGTTTGTGGGCTTCCTCTTGCAGCTTTCGGGCCCAGCCATGTCGCGAAGTGGAGAACACCCTGCCTCTGCCCCCATTGTGTCCACTACTCACCCATCAGGTGACTCAGATCTGGGGTTAAAACAGACAGAATGGTCACCTCAAGCACTCTGGGAGTCACAAAGGGGCTGAGATCCAGGCTGAGGCAATGAGGAACAGCAAGCATCCCTGGCAGGGCCATGATGACCTGGAGGAGGCGTGCCGTCGGGCCCTGCAGCCAGCAACACAGAAGGTGCCAGGCTGGGCACCTGGGCCTGGGCACCCATCCCAGTGAAGTCAGTCTACCCTCACCTCTTGTTTACTCTCATCCAGTATTAGCTCTTTTCTTTTCTCTATCTCCATGCCCACACATTTCTGGGCCTCCACAATTCTGGCTTTTTATCCTTTCCTGCTTCCTCCTTGAAATCAATATACCACTCCTTCTGCTCTCAATCTGCCAACATTTGTCTCTTCTAATCACCTAAGGCCCAAGAAAACAGGAAGGTTAGGACTATTTCTAAAATAAGGGTTAGAGGGCTATAAATGAGTTTCAGAGGAGCTTTCCTGTGAGTTATTCAAGTAAAAGTGCAGAAAATTTCAGGATACAGCAGAATTTCAGGTACTGAAGTGTTATGTTACAAAGTCAGACCATCAGATGACAGAGAGTGTTTTCATTTTTATTGCTTTCCCATCTGCTTTTGGGGTATAGGGCCCTGAGAGGAGAGGGGTCCCCCAACTCCAGCTAGCCTGTGCCAGAACCCTTCTGGGTCCCCCGGGGCCCTGCCAGCTTATTGACCGCTCTCCCCAACTCCACTGTTCTGCCCTACCACACAGAATGAGCCTTCCCTACGCCTCCTTATGGTTGGGAATGAGCTTCCCAGTCGTGCCCTGGTGCCTTTGCAGTCCCTGTACCTTCTCCCTGGAAAGACCGGCCCTGACTTCTCTGTTGACCTCATCTCAAAAGACACTGTCCCCAGGAGTGGACGCCCCCACAGCACCCATCCCCCAGCATTCTCCACTTTCAATCTTTCATTGACATCTCCTGTTTACACATCTCTTGGGTCTGGTGCTCTTCCGCCACCACCCCCTACTTGGCAGTGGCCTGGTCAGTCACCCTGCAGGCAGTCCAGCTGGCCTTCACCTCCTGCCTCCCAACCTCCAAGGGGAATAAGAGGTAGTGAGAGAGAAAGGCTGCCCCCTGGTCACATCCACTGTTTAGTGAGTCCCCTAGCAGGCCCTGCTCAGCCACATACGGTCACTGGGCCCCAGGTGACCCAGACATAGAGTAGGGGATAATAATAATATCAAAAGGGACGAATAGTGTAAGAACTCAAAAGAGGACCCACTGGGGGCTCCTTAAATGAAAAGTACAATTTTATTGTCAATACAGAAAAATCAGTAGAAGAAAAAGACTACCAAACTGGGTTTTGCTTGTTATAATAATTCTTTTATAAAGTCTTATCAGATATGTATTTCTTTCCCTTTCATGTGCAGGCACCTTCCTGGGCAGAAAGCAGGCCCAGCAGACCTGGAGCGGTGGCCCTCGAGCCAGACACCGCTTCCTGACACAGCACACAGTCTTCTGCAGGCCTGCAGCCCAGCCAGATCAGCTCTGTGCAGATAGGGCTCTGCCCTGCGAGGGGCGAGCGGCAGGCTCTGCTGGGCACTGACGCTTTGGCTCCAATCTCTTGTCTATTTACCCACCCTCCCAAAGCAGGGCTGGGGGCAGAAGACCGGGGACACATTCACAGGTTGGGTGGGTCAGCGCCAGGAGAGCCAGAACTGCCTTGGGTCCAGCAACATGTCTCATAATGGGGCTCTCCACAAGGAGGAACCAGAGAAGCTGGGGCAGAGCTGGGGTCTCCAGAGCTCAGGGCTCAGGGCAGAGAGGTGGGGTTGGCTCACCTCGAGGCCACCCCAAGGAGAATAAATAAATAAATACAGGTTAACTTTGCAGTCCCCCAGCCTGGCCTGTTACCCCATAAGGGGACTGTCACTGTCAACCTCAGTTCCTCTGGCCGCCATCCTCCCTGAGACAGGGTGGCAGGAAGGAGGGGGCCCGCCCCACCCTGTGGACTGAAAAACCGGGGCCAGCAAAGTCTACACAGTTCAGGAGGCCAGAGCGGGCGAGTGGGGGCCTGGGCCGAGCCCACAGGGTGAGACAAGGTCCTGCCTGTCTCCCTCTTTTCTGACACATGGCTCACCACAACGGAGCCACAAGGATGCTGGGGGTGTTGACCTCCAAGCTGTGTGATGCTTTTCTCTACCCCTCACCCCCAGCCTTGTTCCTGCGGACTCTTCCTGGTCCAGCTGTCAGGTGCATGCAATCACCAGGATGACTGGAGGAGGGGTGCCGGGGGCCCGAGTCCAGCTGGGGCCGCTGTCCCCTCCAGGGTACGGTTGGGGGAGGCTAGGCAGATGCTCAGCCGGATCAGAGCTGGAAGGGGTACTGCCGGAGGTAGTCAGCCATGCGCCGGGGCAGTGGCAGGCAGTCTACGTCGGGCACCAGACGGTTGATGACAAGGCGGCACAGGTGCTGCAGGCTGCGGGCACTGCTTCTGCGCACAAAGGGCTGTACCAGCCTTAGGTGTACGGCGGTCACTGCGGGGGCAGGCGGCATTGCGTCCCCGGGCACGTCTTCCTTAGGCGTAGGCAGGGCTGGGGCGGGTGCGGGGTCAGGGCTGTCACCTCGGGTGTCAGCGGCACAGGAGGCCACGTAGTGCTGCACAAGGCTGACCACGTCAGGGAAGGCCAGGATGCGCGGCCTGGACAGGCAGTTGGAGTCCAGGCGGAAGCTGGAGTCGGCATACTCGATGCGCACGTTGGTGGGGCCTCGGGTGGTTTTGACCGACAGTGTGAATAGGTAGCTGGGGTGGGTGCTGTCACGTACTAGGAATGTGCCCTCTGGCATCTTCTGCAGGTGTTGCCGGGCCTCACTGGCCGTAATGGAACCCCAATACCAGCCTAGGCAAGTGGAGAGGGGGCCAAGAGACTGGTCACAGGGGAATTTAGCTGGGGGCACCAATGCGGGGCAGAGCAGGGCAGGGGAGGACGCTGCCTCCCCATTTATGCTTCCTGGGGAGGGCTGTACCTCCCCTATCAGACTCTCCTGGGCGGAGCCATGTCTCTCAAATCAGACTCAGCAGACAGAGCTAAGCTTTCCCCAGTGGACTTCCCAGAACAAGGCCTGCTTCCCTCCTCAAACTCACCAGATTCCCGAAGGTAAGAGAAGGTCTTGGCTATGCATAGCAGATCCTCCTCAGGGTCCAGCACCTTGGGCTCACTCTCTGGCTCGGCTGGGGTCTCCTCTGTCACCTCCTCCAGAAAGGCCCCGGCAGGCAAGGGCTGCATAGCTGGTTCGGGCAGCTCCAGGGACTGGGCCCACAGGGCCCGCTGCCCGATCTGCTCCACAGCCAGCAAAGAACAAGGTCTAGAAGGGGTTGGATGGGCAGTGAGTGGCAGCTCTGTGCGCTCCCTATTTCCAGAGATCCACTGCGCCCCGGACAGCTACATGACCTCTGGCTAGTCCATCTCCCACCTCAGTTTCCCCTCTGCCCACTCATGGGCTCAATGAGGTCAGCACACCACACCTCCCAGTTATCACAAAAGCCTCCTTGATGCCTTCCCCCGCATGTGGAGTCTCTTTTGAAACAGACTTCTCCACCTTCCTGTATTTATTGAACGGTAATTAGTCTCTCTATTTTGCACCAACCGGAAACACAGATCATTCCCTAAAGGCGTTTCCAGCTCAGAATGGGCAACTGGTGTCTCCGCCACTGGTAAGATCCAGTGCAAAGAAGCCTCACGTTTGTGCCCTGTAAGCTGAGGGCTGATCAGAAAACACTGGTCCTGCTTGTGCCATGGCTGGGGCCTTCATGGAGTGCTCCAGAGAGGCCCCCAAATTATGGGAGGATGCCTGAGGTTACATGCTACCTCCAATGGACAGGAGTATTTGTCGGAGGGACCAAGGTCCACACTGGCTAGGGCTGAGAGTCTGGAACAATCTCCCCAAACAGGTCAGACTCCTATCCTGTCTCTTCCTCCTCCTAGCTAAGGGTCTAGGGTGGACAGTGGCCTCTGAAGGCACTGAAACATCCCACCTCCCATAAACATGAGCTCCCAGCAAAGGGCAGGGTACCCATTCCACATTCCAGATCTCACCCTGGCAAGCCAGCCCTACTAGGCTTTATGATCTTATGTAAACCTTGCTATTCACTAGGGCTATTCAGCTTCTCCATCCCCTAACAAGGGATGTGACCAGTCCAGATCCTGAGGGGTTTGGCTATACCATATTCCCAGGTGGCTAGAGTTTGGTTGCTGAGCCAGCCTCACTCTGAGCAGTAGACTTTCTCTAGGGAAAGGTCACCCGGTTTGGTGATCCTGGGGCTTTCTGGGAGTGAGGGGTGTAGGCCCTGACTCCCAAGGAAGAGACCACTGGTCCTAACTCAGTCTTCAGGAAATAATATCCTCAGGCCCCAGTTCTCGGTCCCGTCCCCTCCTGGGCCTCAGGACACCAAGATAACAAAACCATGGGCCTTGTATTCCCGGAGAATTTATAATCCAAAGTCATAAAAGCAAAGGGTGTCGTGGGGGAGTCAAGGTCTGCCTGTTGCTGAGCTGAGTCTGTCAGGCCAAAGGAAGGAGCAGGGGGGAAGGCACTCCAGGCAGAGATGACAGTATGGCTGAACAGTGCCAGGTTTCTTATGCGGCAGAGAGAGGTAGACAGGAGCCTTGGCAGGATGCAGGCAGAAGAGCCAGATCTCATAGTGTAGGTTATAGGTGAGCGTTAGAAGATTTTGACAAATAAGGAGAAGGGGCTGTAGGACCCTGGCTCACCACAGCCTGACTAATACTTTCCCACACCCACTCTGGGTGCATTATAGGAGCTCTGACCATCTCCAGACAGCTTAGCAGGGCACTTGTAGGTGTGGGCACCTCTAGAGTCAATGTGGTGTCTGGGTGTGTGAACGGTTGTATTGGGGACGCCTGGGTGGTTTAGTGGTTGAGCATCTGCCTTTGGCTCAGGTCGTAATCCCGGGGTTCTGGAATCAAGTCCCACATCAGGCTCACTATAAGGAGCCTGCTTCTCCCTCTGCCTGTGTCTCTGCCCCTCTCTCTATGTGTCTCATGAACAAATCAATAAATCAATATCTTTTTTAAAAAAAGTAAAAAACCCAGCTATATTGGTCTCTACAACCTCCTGAGAACTGTGTATCTGAGGAGGGGTGTGTCCACAACTGTCATCGTGATGGTGGTGGTGATGGCTGGTGTGTTCCAGGTGTGGGTGGCCTGTACGTGTGTGTGCCTGTTGCAGAGCGCAATCTGTGAGTCCTGACTGGGGACACATGCCAGTGGAGCCTACTCCGCCCTAAGGGTGGACCCCTCACACAAAGCTGGTAGCCCAAACCTACATTTGGGAGTCTCTGTCCCCTACCCCAGGAGGGCACCAGCTGGTTTGTGGCTGTGTGTGTGGAGGTCTTAAAAATCTTGCTCCCTGACTGTGAACACTGGCCCTGAGGTTCCAAAGTGCTTCATCTGGAACAAAGTAAAAAGAGAATGTAGGACCCTAGAATTGGGGGAAGGGTCCTGAGGACAAGGGTGTGGGGGGTGTTTAGGAGTCCCAAAATTCAGAGGAGGAGATACTGGAGACAATTAGGGGGAAAAGTATAGTAGTGTAGTCTTCCTAGCACCTCCAGCCCTCCTCCCTGGCAACTGCTCAGAGCAAGGGACACTTCAGCCTGGCCCCACCTTCCACCCTTCTTCACTTGGTACTATGCCAGTTCTGATAACAACAGCCACTGGGCCTCCCAGCTTTCCCTGGGTGGGGAACACACTCATCTCTCCTTTCTATCTCCCTGGAGCTTTCTGAATTCCTGTCAGATCAGTCCGGAGAGCATCAGACCTATTGGTTGAAAGGGATGCTGAGGCGGAAGGAACGTACCAAGAATGCTCAGTTGAGGCCAAGACTCTGTCTCTTATCAGTCCCCACCCTACCCCAGTCTTTGGGGGGAAAGTTGGAGAAGGGAGGCAGGCGCCAAGTCCTCACATTGGGATCCCAGACTGGGCCGAAAGGAGGGGTGAGGCAATGATGGGGCACCACAGGCAAAATTAGGCCCAGATCAGACTCTCCAAGAGCTGCTGGTCAGCAGGGGCCAACCTGGGGGGAGGCGAGGATCTCAGGCCGGCCTCCCAAGAAGAGCCTAACTGCTGGCCCAGGCAGAACGGCGGGTGGGGCGGAGGGGGCAGGGGCTAGCCCAAGGTCACCAGGAGGCCCCGCGGCCTGCGGCCTGCGGCCTGCGGGCGGGCTAGAGAGCTCGGGGCAGGGGAGCCAGCGCCTGGAGGACGAGCTTCGCCGGCTGGCCGTCAGCTGCTCCAGCCAGCACCCAGGGTTGGCCCACCCCGCCGCCGGCCGACCTCCCGTCTCGGGACCCCCCGCTCCCGCTGGTCACCCCGAGGTCCCCCTGCACCCGCTCATCTCCGACCCGTCAGGCCCTCCCGACGGCCGGCAGCGAGCACGAGGCGCTCGGCGCTCTCCGCACAGGCCGCGGGGCGCCGGGGCCGGGGGGAGGGGGGCGGCGGGCGCGCTTACCCCTGGACGCAGAGGACCATGTCCCGGCAGCGGCGGCGGCAGCTCCGGAGCTGGGGCTCGGCCGCGACGGCGGCGGCTGGAGGGACCCGTGGGCGCAGCTCTCGCTCGCGGGCAGGCTCCCCGGGCGCACCGGCGGCGGGCTGGGACTGAGAGGCGGCGGCGCGGGCGGCGGGCCGGCAGGGCGCGGGGGCGGGCCGGGAGGCGGGGCGCGGCGGCCGCCTAATCTTTTGTCCTCCGTGTCCCGGCCCTTCCCGGAAACGACGTCTTCCTAGAACCGCCGGCCGTGCAGCCGGGCCGGGGAGCCGCGGGGCGGGGGCGCAGCGGCGGCCTAGTGCGGCGCTGGGGGCCGCCAGAGGAAACACCTTTGACAGATTTCCAAGAACTTTCCAGGAAAATGGGGCGGGGTCCCGCTCGCCGACCAATCGCAGCTCGGGGGGCGGAGCCGAGTGGCCGGGGCGGGCCAATTGCAGCCTTGGGATAGGAGGCTGAGGAAAGAGCTGGGCCGAACGTGACCTCGACGCCAGTAGGGAAAGACCCGGTTGGAGAAGGCCGGGGAGGCGTAGGGGTTGTACCTGCCCGAGCCCAGACTTCTTTTGGGCATTCCGCTTCCGCTTCGTTGGGGACCGGCGCCTTTATCTCTCTGTTGACCTGGTGGCAGGGCAAGAGCAGGGTCACGGGCCTGTCCTCCCAGCTAGCGCCGCCCCCATAGCGGTCTGTCTGCTGTGCCAGCGCCCCCTGTGGGCCGCATTTGGATCCCCGGACTCTGCGTGGGGTGGTGGGGAAGTGAGTGGCATGGGGTGGGGGTTTTGCGAACATAGGAGGAGGGGAGGAGTGCAGAGGCGGGCCTCAGATCCGAACAGGTCCTCGAGGGTCAAGGATCCACCACAGCGAGAACGTTTTCTCTGAAAGAGTTGGGGGAGAAGGCGCACCCCAACTTTGGGATGGGGGCAGGTGTGGCGACCTCATTACCCACTTGATGGCTGGGGCACTGGGAGACCCCACCATGGGGCACCTATGCAGGGTGCAGTCTCTTCAGTAGAAACTGTCTACCGCCCCCATTACTATGAAGACAAAGGGGTTTCACAGCTGCCAAGCAACAGAACTAAGATGTGAACCTGGGTCTCTATGGGACCAAATCCCAAGCTCTCTGTCCCGGGACTACTTGTTCCCTCTAACTGGACACTTAGTATGTGCCATGTACTATATCAGTGATTTCCAGCCTCATCTAACCACTACATATTGGGTCCTCTTCACAGGTGAGGAGATGGAGGCCCAGAGAAGTTAAAATGTACCCTGAATCTCACAGCTGGCAAGTGGTGAGTTGGTGCTTGGAGCCCAGTCCACCCCCTCCCCCATCCTATCTAGGTGCCCTGACCTAACAACTCTTAGGTATCCTTCAAGGTCCAGCTTTAAGGTCCTCGGTGAAGCTTCCCTGCCAGTCAATGTCAGAGCACCACAGCCGTCCCCTTGAAAGCTCCCTTACAGATGTCAGTGATTATGCAGTTCTGTGGGTTAAAGGGCCCCAAGGATTTTGCCCTCCAACCACCTTTTGTGAATTTGACAGAGTTAAGCACCTCACGTCTCTGCTTGGTATGTGGTATGCCCCTGTTTTGCCCCAGGTGTTGTGGGTTCCTGGCCATCTTATCACCACTCCTGCTCTGATTACTCCCTACCCAACCCTGCTCTGACTGCTGGGCCCACAATGCCACCCAGTGGTAATTCCTCTCAGTTTCACTTGTCAAATTTTCTTGTTCTCTCCAGGATAAGGCCTCCTGGCACTCCTTGCACCTTGCTGCAGGGAATCCCTGCTCCTCCCCACCAGGAGTAGTCACAAGATGGGTCATCACAATAATAATACACAGCAGTGCCTTCCTCAAAGTCTGGCTCATTTGGTCTCTCCAGTCTCATCATTTCAGCCTTTCCTCTCCCTGAAGAATAGTCCACACAGGTGTGTATGTGTGTATATGTTTCGGGGGTATGTATATTCAGTCCTCTACTCCCCATCCCTACTCCTTGATATGTGCGCACACACATACACTGGACCCCTTTAACAAAGTCTGCCACCATGAACCCACCCCTATCCTGGCCCAGCCATCCCAAATAGTGAATTCTCACACCAGTGTGCAAGTGGTTGTTAGAAAATGAGCATCTAGGGGAAACCATGTATTCTGAGTCTCTTGGGTTGAATCAATAGTTCAGAACATCTATGATGGATCTATGTGGGACATGTGTGTGTGCTTGTGTAAGCATTGGCATTGGTGGGGAGACTGCAAAGGGACAGGGATCACCACCACTGCTTACTTTTCACATTTCCCTATGGTCTGAATTTATTGTAACAAGGAAGTTTTACTTATGCAAGTAAAATTTGAATTAAGAAGAGATCAGTTAAAAATACAATTATAAAATGTTTAGAACAATTATAATCAGATTCGATTTTTAGAAACTAAGATAGCAATCACAGCATACACTGAGATAATTTGGCTGGGAAAGGAGCCAGCCCCCACCCTCAGCTGCTCAGCGCTCTGCTTGTGAGTGGGACCCTGCTTGTCCAGAAAGCTCTTGCTCAGCTTTGGGTTCATCTGGCCCAAACCATCACCTTTAGAGGGAGGAACCATCTCCACTCTCCAAGCTGTAGAAGCTTCCAGATCACAGAGCTTCCTCCAAATCTCTGAGATATTAGATCAGATTCTGAGATGGGGCTCAGGGACCGAGGACTGGGTCCAGCTGGGCATAAATGTGAGTGTGTGTGTGTGTGGGGGGGTGCATATGTATGCCCATGTGTCTGTACACATGAGCAAATCTGTGCTTGTGCATCTGTGAGCATGTGTAAGAGCATATTTGTACAAGTGGATGTGGGAGGGGGCAGGAAGGCACAGGACAGGAGGGCATCATTTGAGGGTGAGAGCTGGGCCCTGGAATTGTTCTCTGGGGGTTCAGATGGAGACCCTGCCATGAGACTTACTGATCTCAGGCTGGTTGCTTGATCTCTCAGGGCTTGTCTGTCTTGCATCTGTCCTGTAGGCTGCATGACGTGGGTATAACCCTGTTGCCTCTGGTCCCAGTGAGATCATGGAGTTCCCAGGTAGAACACCCTCTCCGTGTCTGATCCAAGAAAAGCGTTCAGTAAGTTGAGGCCATCGTCAGGGTCTTTGTTTCACCAAACTCTTCTAGCCTGAAGGTTGTCTCAAGGTGACAGGGCAGAGTGCCGGGCCCTTTCTTCTGGCTCAACCCCTGTACACAGCAGGTGCCAGTTCTCCAGGAACTGCTGATCTGAAGAGCCTTGGATCTTCAGCCCAGGAGTCCACGTGCATCCACCTGCGTGTGTGCTGGGGTATGGGGAAGTCGGTGGGAGAGCTGTCTGGGCCCAATCCTACCAACAGCAGGGTCTCCGAGACACGGGAGGGGCCGAGGCCTCAGTGCCTGCAGTCCTGACAGTGGCCTGTAGATGGCAGCAGAGGCTCGCGCAGGGACCCTGACCCAGGCCTCACCCACCCAGTCCCAAGTGAGCCACCAAGTTCCAGTCCCTCAGCCTGAGGGTTGGGGAATGGGCGCGGTGTGCTGGAAGAGTGCAGATTCGTCTCAGCAGAGAGCAACACCCCCTGCGGCTCTATACAAGTTGTTTCCTCTGGGTGTGTGTGTGGGGGAGGCGGGGGGGGGGTTGCTCAGTTTCCTCATCCGTGAAATAAGAGTTGTTTAACAGCCTGTGATGGAAAAACTGGCTCAAAATACCTAAGATAGTCTAAGATGGGCTCAGAATAGAAACCTAAAAGTGAACGGCAGCACCATAGCTAATACGGAGTATATAGAGTAGTAGGAGGAGACTTTTCAAACACGACACCAAAAGCTCAAAGTATAAAGTGAAAAGTTAATGGATCTGGCAAAATGAGAATTTAGGATATCTGGTCTAAGTACCCTGTGTATCCCAAGGGGAAAAATAAGCCACAGATATGAGCAGGAGATGCACACAGTGTGAAAGACATCCAGAACCCCCAGGGATTGGAAAGAGGAGAATCACAACGAAATGCCATTTCACTCTGCCTGGTGGCAAAAATTAGGACTTTGGGTACGCTGGCGGTGGGCCACCACTAAGGAAGTCGCAAGCCGGAGGAGCCTTGCTGGAGGGCCGTCGGCAGGGTGCAGAGAACACGCCCGACTCCAGGGCTTCCTGAAGCTCCAAGAGAAACAAGAGTTTCTGCGCTGTCACTTCCTAGGTCGCTGGCAAACTCCGGGGCTGGCGCAGTCCTCGCGGGCCGCTGTGGGCCCGGAGCCAGGAGGTTTCCGCCCCCTTGGAGAAGCCACGCCTCCTGCTCTGCCCAGGCTCCGGGGCGGGGCCCGCCGTAGCCTCTTGCCCGCCCCCCCCCCCCCCCCGGTCCTGCCAGGGCCCGCCTGGCCCTTTAAGGCTGACCGAGCTGGGCCCCAAGTCCGGGACGCTCGTGGGGGGTGGGGGGGCGGTCACGTGGGCTGCGGCCGGCGCGACTCGGCTCTAGGCGCTCGCGCCCCGGGCTCCCGGGACCGCGGTCCCTGCCCCTCGCCGGCGCCAGCCAGGTACTCTGCTGTCAGGGACGCCCTCGCCAGGTACGCCCTCCTAGGCCCCCTCTACCTCCCACCCCCTCCGGCGCGCAGCCCCTTCCCCTCCTGCCAGGTGTCCCGCAGGACTCGCTAGCGCCCGGTCGCGCCACCACCGCCCCCTGCCTCGCGTCCGTACTTCGGACAGTTCCCTCCCGGCTCCCGGCTCCCGCTCCCGGCGCAGTCTGCTGCCCGCAGCCCCGCCAGGCTCAGGGGCTCCAGGCTGGGGTGTATTGGAGGAGTCTAGGCCGAACTCATTCTTCTCTTACCCTCTAGGTGACCCCGGACGCGCCAGGCTGGGGTCGCCTCTGAGCGCCCCGCGGGGGCCATGGATGGTGAGACAGCAGAGGAGCCTGTGCCCCCTCAAGGAGCACCCTGCGGACCTGGCTCAGCTGGCGCTCCTGCCCTCGGGGGGCGGCGGGAGCCCAAGAAGTATGCAGTGACCGATGACTACCAGTTGTCCAAGCAAGTGCTGGGCCTGGGTGTGAACGGCAAGGTGCTGGAGTGCTTCCACCGGCGCACTGGGCAGAAATGTGCCCTGAAGGTTAGTGGCCCCTCACTGCTCCGTGGGTACCTGGAGGGCCCAACAGCAGAGGCCTGGGGGTGCACCAAGATATGCCCAGGACCCCTACTAAGCTTCTTATGATCAGTATCTCTTTTCCTTCTCACACTCCCCTGTAAGGTCAGGCTCCTTGTTCTCCTTGCTTTACAGATGGGGGAAACAAAGCTTAGTCTAGTTAAACTCAGGGTGTCCCAGAGAGCAAGGGGTGGAGTCAGTATGGGTAGAGTCTGTTGGTCCCGGAAACAGGGAAGGAGTGGTTCCTGACTCTGGGTTTGTGGCTGGGCCTCTGTGTTCTGACCAAAGGTGGGGGGGAGGGGCTTACTTGGCTTGGTTGTTCCTTCCATATGAAGCTCTTTTTTTTTTTTTTTTTTCATGAGAAACTCTTTTGACTGGAATGGATCTGAGTTTCCCTCTATCTGAGACTGAGTCTCCACCAAGCCTTGGGGTGAGGCTGCTTTCTCTTGTGGCCCCTGATGGCATGGGCTAGAGTAGGGGGTGGGAGCCTCCCAGGACTGGCCCATCACACTTGTGAGCAGGAGGCTGCTGATGGGCTCCAGCTGAGTCACTGGCCCTACGTCGTCAAAAAGGGCAGGTCTTCCTCCAAGCTTGACTCACCCTGGTTCCTGGGCGGAGGGCAGGCTAGCCATCTATCCGTGTCACACCACAGGCTCCCTGGAGGCCTGGTAAAGAACTCACTGATACAGGTGGAATCCAGGGAGTTCTGGGGGTGGCTGATCTAGCCACATATTTCTGGCTTAAGTCATTTAGTTCCGGGCCCAGGACCCTGCCCCATACCCAGAATGCCTTGAATCTGTTGACACTGGGAGCTTCACTCAAGAGCAGTTTGTGCCATTGGCCACCTGGACAGGTAGATCATAGCAAGGAAAGTGGCTCCTGGAGGTTAGAATACTGCAAATGATCTTCTCATTTTACAGACATTATAATTATGAGCCTGAGTGCAGAGTTCTGCAGACGTGGCTCTAATCTCTGGCCTGCATTTGCCAGCTCTGTGACCTTGGACTAGGTCCTGGACTCTGGAAACCAGGTTTCTGCCTCTGCTTAGGGGGAAAGATAAAGAGTTTATGTGAGCTTGGAATGAGATGATGCCCGTAGAGTAATTGGTACTAGGCCTGATGCAGGCCTGGAGAGGTTATAGGACTTATTTAAGGCACAGTGTTTGCAAGTATCTGAGCAGGGACCTGGGTCCAACTCCCTGTGTTTTTCCTGGAGGCACTAGGGCTGATAGGATGGGTCTGGAGGAGGCTCAGGGCTGGGCTGGTGAGGGGGCTGGTGAGGTTGAGCCTTGGGCACAGCTTCCTCATCTACTAACCCAGCAGTGGAATGGGGTGGGGGGTGGGGCCCTATCTCCGATTCCTTTAGGGGAAAAGTGGCTCTTCTCAGAGGAGAGTCTCTATCCCTTCCCTCAGTACCGTCTTAGCTCTCTCATCTGTGCTCGGGTCAGGGGCGGTCTGGGTAGACAAGGGGCCAATGGAAGCCAGAGAACTCTTCTTAATACCAAGGCTTTGGCCCTGTGAGCCAGGGCTGGGCTCTGACCCACCCCTGCGGTGTTTCAGATGCTGTGAGCAAGGCAGAGATGGAGTAGGAAGACAGAGATCTTGGGCCAGGTAGCACCAGGTTTAAGCAGGGCTGGGTCCAATCTCTTCTCCATAGGTGCTGTGTCTGACAAGTGACTTTGAGGGAACTTCTGACTGCAACACTTTCCAAGATACCTCCTCTTGAATCTAGGGCCTCAATGCTTTCTCTGATCTAGATTGGGAAGTAGGACAGGCCTAGAACAAATTCCCCTCTGAGACCCCTTTAGGTTTTATGGGTGAATATGGCTAGAGCTACTGCCTTGGGCCTTCAGGACCTGGCCCTAGGAGAACATGGATTAAATGTGCCTCCCACTCCATCACCTTCCTTTGCTGGCCCCCAGCCCTCCTCTAGTGACCAAGTCTGGAATTTTCTACCATCTGGGAGGTCTTTACCATCTTCCAAGATGGTGCTAGCACAACTTTGAAATATTGTACTTGTACTGTGAGTGATGACTCTAGCCTTGAGGAGGAGAGTGGCATTTTTCTGCTTAGCCTCTGCCCCCTGCCATCTCTGTCCTTCTTGGTGGTACAGGCTGAGTGCCCTGGCCTTACTCCATGCCTGTTGCTCAAGATGGCAGATAATGCTTAGCTTGAAGCCTGGAATGTAACAGGCATTCATAAAACAGGAAGAGTTGTGGTCAGTGTCCTTGTAGCTGGGGGCCCTGGAGAGACAGGCTCCTCCCCGGGATGCTGGGCCTCTTCCCCTTTCCCTCAGTCCCTGACCACTGGAGTCAGTGGTCAGAAATCATGTAGCTTGATTGGGATGAGAGATTGTATCACAGGCCAGCATCTCCTTCCCTACTAACTTCCTGCCCAGCCCACTTACGGTCCTCTGCCTCATGGCAGGCAGAAGTGACCATGGCACTTAGATAAATAAAAGCAATATGAGGTTTTAAGAAGACTGAAGGGCTCTGCACGTGGGAGGAGAAGTAGAGTCTTCTTTCCTGCCCCTGCTTTCTGGGCTCTGGGGCTAGGAGCCCTCCTCTCTGACCACGGGAGTATGTTGGAAACCCCTTGGGCCCCCAGTGCTCTTCTCTCCTCTTCTTTATCAAACCAAGTAGAGTGCTGGGGTGCTGGATCCACGTGCTGGGGAGTTCCCACATTGCTCCATGGGTGGGGCTGACCTGTTGAAGCTGGTGCTGTAGAGCTGGATTTGAGGCTGGGTGGGGCTGCCAGGCAGGCCAGGTACTTTCTCATTTGGCAGCTACCACCCCCTCACCTGCCATCCCCCGACCTGTCAGATCAGCCTTGGCAGGACCATTTGTTACTGAGTCAACAAATCAGGAAGCATGTGGAGGGGCTGGCAGCCCTGTCCAATGGAGTCCCCTGTAGGGGTTTCACTGTACCCAGCCTCCTCCCCAGGCTGCCCCTCTCCTGGAAGGAAAGAAGCTGAGGAGCTCGTGTGCTACCATGCTGGTGGAACCTGCTGAGCTGTCATTTAATTTAATCTTCTGTTTAAAAAAAGATTCTAGGAGGGTCATCAAATCCTAAAAAATGCAAATAGTGAAGTTTTTGGCAGAGATTGTTTTGAGCTGCTTCACATCTGCCCAGGTGGCCTTGCTCACAGGTTTAGAAACTGTGCTCAAAGCCTAAACCTCTGCTGGGGATCCCCTCTGCTGGGACTGCCAGGATCTTCCCATCCTATCCAGGAGCAAATGCCATCTCTCTAGGCCTCAGGCCTTGGTACTATGGATTCTAATATTCTCATAGATGGCTAACAGTTTTCCAGACTGTTCTGTCTGGCAGGCCCTGTCCCCAGTGCATGATATATATTCTCTTACCTAATTCCTGTCATTCCCATTCTGAGGATAATGTCACTGATATTCAGCAAGGTGGATGACTTGCCTAAATGCACAGCTGAAGAGTGGCAGGCTGTGATGTGAGCCTAGCAGTTTGAAACCAGAGTCTCAGCATTTAAATCACTCATGCCTCATGCTAGTTTATGGGGATGTAGGAGGCCGCTGGCACCATCCTCTGTGGTTCCACCAGGAGACCAAGTGCTGCTGCTCATATTTGTCTATATCTGCCCAGCTCTTCTCACTGTGCAGGACTCTCTGCTTGTGAGTGGACAGATGGTCCCACAGGCCAGCACACAAGGACATGATGGCTGTGGAACTGTCTCAGAAAGGTTGTGTGGTTCATCCCAAGGCTTGTGAGTCTCAGACAAGCCCAGCCCAGCAGACTCCAGACTGCCACAGGCAGGAAGTGAGGTCAGTCAGTGGGCGAGAGGAAACTGTGTCTGGGCTGGGCCAGCTAGGGGAGACTTCCTAGAAGAGATTGCCAGCTTTATTCTAAGCCTCTGGTCTGAGAAGGATGTGAATGACAGAGGGGGGCACAGGCTATATGTGATAACATGCCTGTTTTGACTGCTCAGCACCTGCTGTAGAGTACCACTTCCCCACTCACAGTCGTGTGTGTCCTGGCAGGATGTGGCTGATCTCAATGGGGCAAGTGTCCAGGCCCCGACAGATGCTGGGAGCTGTGGAAGGACTCTGAGGGCTGCGTCTTCTTCTGTGGAAGAAGAGTTCTTTACATAGGGCCTTGAAAAAAGGTCAGCGACTCTCCCTTTCATTCTCCCACAACTCAGATTCATACCTTAACCACCAGGGGCCTCTTTCTGTCTTTGGTATCTTCCCTCACTAAGTGGGCAAAAATTCTCCTTCCTTCCCCCAGAATTTTCTTTCATGACATCAGCAAAACCCTCACGGAACACTGTTGCTCAGGGTGCTCTAGGGGCTTCTAGGTCACCTGGGCTGTCATTTAGTTCAGGCTGTTTGGGAAGGAAGGGCCTGGTCTCTGTGGCAACAGAGGTCTGTTTAGGTCTCTGCTGGGGTTTGCACTTGGGGGAGCTATTTCCCTACTTGGATTCCTCATCTCTTCCTCTGAGGGCCTCCTTGGGATATCATCACAGGATACCTCTGTGAGTGGGCAGCAGATGGAGCATCTACTTGTGTAGTCCCCTCACCTCTTTTAGTCCAGCCTGGTGACAGGTTGCCAGGTGTCCAAAGATGCTGGTCACCAGGCAAGAGTTGAAGACAGTGGTGATCCCTAGGTGCGGTAAGAATATGCACCCAGCCCTCCTTTGTGTGTGGGTCTGCTGCTCTTAGGGCAATAAGAACATGGCTCCTGTATTTTTCTAGGAGAATTTCGATTCTGCTAGCCTTGCTTCTGTCTATTCAAGAACTTATGTGTTCCCATATGAGAGGCTCCCTGGGGTTGAGAGAGGGAAGGGCTTTGGGCTTGAAACCCTTCCTGACACTTTCTCCCTGAATGACCTTGGACAAAACGCAGTTTGAGAATCTTTTGCAAAACCATCATCTCTGTGGTGCAGTTGAACCCTGGGTTTGAACATGTGGCCAGAGGGGGATTGAGTCTTGGTGGCCATAA